GAATTTGATTTAGGGGCTCCTTTTGTTGCTAAAAATATCAGCACCTCTAACGGCTTTTGTGTTAGATTTAGTGAGATTAGTTATGGGAGAAGGGAGTAGTTTAAATGCCCAGCCTAAAAAGCAATAAGTTATAATCGCAGTTTACTAAATTGGATTTGTAAATTCAAAGATTCAACTCACAGCATCAGATTGTTGCTATGGTAACAAAACAATACAACTATGAATATTGTTCTTTGAAGTTTTACAAAGTAAACTTGCCAGCTCCTTAAAATCTTGTATTTAAATGTTAAACAATTTAAAATAATTTAATTTATGTATGCCTAAACAACTGAATTAAATTTAACAGCATTGATCATCTCAATAAACAAGTGTTACATTTATGTATCTGTGGTCTGTTTTAAATTCTTAGCATTTATGGGGCCCCTGAAGCTCTTGGGGGGCCTGATGGAGCTGCTGTCTTAATTTGGATTAAACAGAAGTGCAAATTTGTTGTTTTTAGACTAGTTGTGGGTTTAAATAGCATTTCACTGGAGATGTTTTCCCGTAACATATAATTACACAGTAATACTTTTACATTTCCTGTCAACTTAACATCTTTGAATGCAAAACACGGTGGACTGCCGGTGGACCGACTCAATGCCCCGACCACCGGGCTTAGCAAGTTTTCTGGGGGAAACCCTGGAATATTTCAAAATTAAAGTGAGTAATCAAGAGTTTCAAAGGTAATCTAGAAATATAATTACTATGTTCAGGACAGAATTCTTCAACTGGAAAGGTTCTATGGTCCAAGATGAAATAGTAGGCTTTTCTTAGGGCATCTCTCTCAATGCATCGTTTCTCTGCCTCCCGTTTTATTTTTTTCAGCTCCTCTTTCTCTTCGACCAGCTTCTCTTTCTCTTTGTCCAGCTCCTCTCTTTTTTTGATCAGCTCCTCTCTTTTTTTGATCAGTTCCAGTTTTTCTTTGGCCATGTCCATTTTCTTTTTGTCCAGCTCTTCGTTCTCTTTGGGCAGCTCCTTTTTTTCTTTGTTGAGCTCTTCTTTCTCTTTGGTCAGCTCCTCTTTCATTTTGCTGAGCTTCTCTTGATTTTTCCTCAGCTCCTCTTTCTCTTTAGTCAGCTCATCTTCCTCTTTGCTCAGCTCCTCTTGCTTTGTCCTCATCTTCTCTAACTCTTTGCTCAACTCATCTTTCTCTTTGCTCAGCTCCTCAATCTCTTTGTTCAGCTCCTCTGTCTCTTTGTTCAGCTCCTCTGTCTCTTTGCTCAGCTCCTCTGTCTCTTTGCTAAACTCCTCTGTCCCTTTGCGAAGCTCCTCTGTCCCTTTCCTGAGTTGTTCTTTTTCTCTCCTCAGTTGTTCTTTATCTTTGAGAAGCTTCTCTTCATCTTTGTTCAACTCCTCTTTTTCTTTATTCAGCTGCTTTTTCTCTCTATTGAGCTCCTTTGTCCTTTTTCTCAGATCCTTTTCTTTTTCCAA